TCCATAAAGCATCAAGAATAAATGAAGAATAAATTCAGCTAAAAAACTTGGGAGAGAATTTACACACATTTGTACCAACATTTCTTCTTTCAAGTAAATTATCTATTTTTTTTTTTCACCTAAAACAATAAGATCTGAATGGCGGCTGATATCAAAGTTGTGGGTGTGTGTTAGGTCAGCGGTCAGTCTTCACACAATATTAAACCCTCAGAATATCAAACCTTTAAGGGAAAGGCGACTTAATAAAGAGGGAACAGCCCCAGAGGTCAGACATGCTCTTGACAGCAGATTTTATTTATTTATTTATTTTTCCATCATCTTTGACACGATGGAGGTCCAAATGGTGAAAGTGGATCACGTTATGGTTTGTCCTGAACAAACGTCAGCTTCATCTCTCAAAGCACCTTTGGGTGTGTGATGGGCAGATACATCCACATCTGCAGGGGATTAATGATGCCTGTACCAACTTGACTTTTGTTAACAACTTCTGGGGGAAGGGGCCTTGCTCCTTTTTCCTGCTGTTTGGAAATTTATTATAATCAGTGGTCAATGGTGTGGTCTGATGACCCTGAGGCTGCAGGTTTGAGCACAGGTTGCATCAAGAAAGGCAGAAGACAATTGCCAAATCTTTTAGTCGTTGAGGCGACTCCTGCAGAGCCAAAAAAAGTTATTTCTTCTAAACACGGTTGACTTGGATTTTTACTTTTATGAGGGGTAGTTCCAAGGTAAATAAGTGATCTCGTCTCCTCTTGGCATCCTGAACACCTTTGTTTTGTTTTTCAATATCGTCATCTTTGACCTCCATCACTGAACTCTGAAGACTAAAGCTTTTGTGAAATTGGTGATAATAATAATAAAACTTATGGCAGAACAGCTGAGAGCAAGAAATGTTTAAATGGAAAGAAAAAAAAAACCCTACAGGGCTTTGGGTAACTTCATTTCATAACTGAAAATAGCCGTTTTCTTGCTTCACTGTAGGTCTCCAGTTTTATCCACGTATCTGTACTTTACTTTACTTTACTACACCCCCAACACATGTACATATTTTCCTCCTGCTCTGTCCATCCCAAACTCACTTCCATTCATCACCTCTGCTCCCTGGCTCTTAGCTATGTGGAATGTGACAAAATTAAATCAATAAAAACACACATATACAATTAAATTATTAAATACACATTTAAGTAATTTAATGTCCCATGAAATAAATAAGTGTACCTTTTAAATTCTTTATTTCATGATTTATAAACACAATTACCGCTTCCTAAAGTTTCGGAATATATTTTCTGGCCTGTGGATTGACCCATTATCTGTGGTCGATTTGTTTTCATTTGCTGTGTGGAGCAGCCAATCAGGCGTCAGGATCTGTTCACGATCCACCCTAGTCCCGCCCACTGAGTTTGATGAGTGAGACTGACAGTTAACATAATTTCATGGTGACACTGTGGAGTCTGGAATGTGACAAAATTAAATAAATCATGAAATAAAGAATTTAAAAATATTTATTTATTTCATGGGACATTTAATTAATGGTGTATTTAATAATTTAACTGTATATTTAATGATTTTATGATGTATTTAATAATTAAATGATACATTTTATTAAGTACTGATTTAATTTTGTCACATTCCACCCTCCATACAACTTGGCAGGGTCACATTATACTCCACCAATCTTGTTCTACAGACACGTTTCTGGATAAATGTGTTTCTTAGAAATGTTTTATTTATTTATTTATTTTTAAACACTGAAGTATGTTGCAGCTCTTTACGCCAAATGGAAATTTGGTTCTATATGATGGTTTAATATCTGCACATTTATAACATCTTTTATTAACACAACACTGTATTTACGAATTTAAAGGGAAGATAATTATTTTGTATTTACCGTGCTGGTTGAGAAATCAATCGCTGCCTAAGCGTGGACATCTTTAGAGGTTTGAAGATTCCCAGAGATCTTTTCTTTTTGTCTCAAGTGCTTCCCTGCACTTTGAATGCAAACCAGTGTCACATTATCCAAAAACAGCACACCTCATGCTTCTATTGGCCAGAAACTGATCACGTGCACAGATTCAGGACTTTATTCCACAACTACATGTGCTTTTGAGCCAGTTATCTAACCCAACATTAATCCATTCTCTCCTTGTGGAATATTTCCTTTATATCCGTGCCACATCTATCCGCATAAAACCCATTTCCACCCTTTCTTTGCAGAGGGCTAATTGAATTTTCAGCCGACTGTTAATTAACAGCAGAGCTGATTGGCATATCGTCAGATCATTTGCATACAGAGACTTGCTCACCTCCCCATCTGCATGTCTGAGAGCCTGGCACAGAGCCAAAAGCCAGAGTGGAAACTGACTTTGGAGGGAGGAGGGGGGTCAGGCAGAGCAGGAGGTGGTGAGGCGGCTGCCAACAAAGAGGAGACTATTTCAAATACATATGTAAATGAATGCAAAAAAAACCCCTAATATATGCATGCTCAGACGGATAACTCCACAGATTTTGCAATCAAGTCGACTAATTAATGAATCAACGGGGGAAACATGAAGTGATGCCGTATCGTTACGCTCCTCGTACAAACAGGTGTTAATTGGTAGCAAATTGGCAGCGGCATGCAGATGAACTGGGCAGATTGGTTACTAGATGTGGCAGAAGAAAAAAAAAAAACTAACTAGTGATGCACGCAAAACTAGTGCCATTTGTTTAAAAAAATTAATAAATCTCAATTTACTACCCAAAAAATGAAAATTTGTTAAAAAAAAAATTCAGAGGACTTATTCTGATCTGATAGGTGTCCTCCATCACATCCATCAGCATGCTGGCATCAGGAATCCCCCCACAATGCCTGGCGAGGGGGTGTTCACAAGTGAAACATACACCAGCTGACAAGCTCGAGTTTAACTCCACGTGCGTTCTATGACTAAAATCCAATTCCGCATGAGCAAGGCCTTTAAAAGAAACCGTCTGTCTCTTGGAAATGCCAACTTCATTAGTATCCATGCAGCACGCAGCTCGTTAATGAAAGTCATTGAAACAGGTGGTGAGTGCTGGGTGGGTGCCATCGAGAAGTCTGCTTAGTGGCGTCGAGTCATGGCTGACGTTGAGCAGCTGCTTCTCTGCCATTCGTCCCTGAAATGTAATAGTGGAACAAGATCTCAGATTATAAAATGAGAAGTTGAAGATTGCAAGAGGGGCACAGTTATGAGTGGGCTAAAGATGAGATGCTGTTTTTCAGAAGTAAAGCTTTAAGTCACAGATTGGAGGCAATACGTTTAACATAATGACAGTTCTTCCAGTTATTTAACAGTCAACAATGGTGTGCCACAAGGCTCAATCTTAGGACCCACCCTCTTTACAATCTAGGTCAGATCATTCCTGACGCATCCCTGCATTTTTATGCCGACGACAATTTATTTTTGAGCTATATCAGTTGCTAAGGTTTTCCAGCTTTTACAGTCTGCGTTTGACAGCATTCAGTCAGACTTGTTCCATCTCAGACTGGTACTAAATGCTGATAAAACCAAAAAGGGATGTTGTTTTCAAACAACGGGTTCGTCCAAGGCCCCATTAACTATGGCGACATTTATATGAATGTTCCTATAAGCACCTTGCAGATTTTGAACGCTGTCTATCACGGTGCGCTAAGATTCATAACTGACTAACTACTGTACCCATCACTGCACCCTGTATTCATTTGTCATCATTAACTTAATGCAGATTCTCTCACTGGTACATTTTCATCTTTAAATTACTCCTTGGTCTGTTGCCTTCATACATCTCCTCCTACATGTCATCAGTGCAGCTACGGTGTGCACTCAGGACATCATTACTTGCAGCGTACCCTCAGTGCTGACTAAATTTGGCAAAAGGGCCTTTTCTTACTCTGCTCATGTAACCTGGAACACCTTACATAAAGACCTGAAGCTGTCTTCTTTGACCACTAAGGGATTTTAAACAAGTGTTAAGTTCAATGCAAAAATCAATGCAGACAGGTTCCTGTTTTTATCACTTTACAGTTTCATTATGTAGCTTGATTTTGTTTATGTCACTACTTTTATTCATTTTCATTTTATATGCTTTTTATGACCGTTTATTGTTGTCTGTACCTCATCTGTGGTTTTGTGTAAAACGGGTTCCTCTTGAAAACGAGTCCTCGTGACCCACTGAGGCTAACCTGTATAAAGTTTGAATTTTAAAAAAATCTGCATTTTAAAAATGAAGAAACCAAATTGATTTTGTGCAGGATGAATGGCAAAAAGACAAGTCACATGAAAAAGTTACAATTTATTTTAAGAGTTTGACTTCTAGAAAGAAGCAAATGTTACATTTATTTGCGATAATAGAATAATAAAAATATATACATTTAGGATATTCTCTAATTTTAGACCAATGAGTACAAAAACCTGTTCAAATTAAATCAACTTGTTACCTAAGCCTTTAGTTTAACCCATTTAGATCCTGCTTCCTCCGGACACCAACTTCTGCACGTCCTCAGACTCTGCAGTCTCTGCTGCTCAGAACTCCTCCATTCTCCCTAACTGAGGAAGAAAAGACGCACTCATGCGCTCAAGTAATTAGTGCTAATCAGCTGTGCACTGACCAAAGTAGGCAGCCATATTGATTTCAGAAGCTAATCAAGAAAAGGCTCAGTGAGGACATAAGTGCTCCACTGAGCGAGTTACACCTGCAGTTAAACGCTGTTTGGATCCAGAGCAGCAGAGTGATCTAAACTGTGCACAGGTCAGGCCTGTGTTAGAATGAACAAATAAAAGTAAATTTATACAGGTCATAAAGGAATTGGTCAGCTGCTTTGAAATGGGGTTCTGTGAGAAGGATGTATAATAATATCTTACCTGTTGTAGATAGCTCTTTGAACACCCTCAGTTTGAGGACATGGAGCTCATTTCTGGCTTGACTGATGAGCCAACAGCTCGTCAGAGTGGGACTTTTTGTTTTAAAGTGAAATAGTCCAAGCAACAAACCTTTTTACATCTTCAATCTTTATTTCTTTAAAATAAAAGGGAAATTTGTTATCAATAGTACAAATACAAACTTGTATTAGAACAGAGGCAATTATAAAAGAGCTTTGGGAATAAGATACGGCTAAAAGACAGGTTCTTGGTACATTGTGGTAAATACAAACAAAGTGGGCTGGTCGATGGAAGACTGGATAATATTTCAGATAAATGACACAGGAGGCTTAAAAAAATGTATATCCGGTGGAACTTAAAACTCGCTCTCTTCCAGTTTGCTAGCAAAACAATCTCCAATAAATAAGGCACTACAGTGGGCCTAAAAAGCAGGAAACTCCCCGTGTCAGCAAGTTTGCGATGTATAATCTGAATAAGTGGACCACAGCTGATGAAAAACATTCACATTTTATACCGTGCATAAATACGTTTTCATTTTAAATCACGCTAAAGATATTTCTATTAATAAACATTTAAAACTGGGATTGTAAAAAGACCTGACATCTATATTTAATAGGATAAGGACATTTAACCAAAGAAGTGACAAAAAAACATCAAACATGATGTGCTATTTGGTAACCTTTAGTTGTGCAAGAAGAGCTGTATTGTTTTGGCTGTATGCATGTTGGTAAAGTACTATCCAACACTCTGTCAACATGCTTTTATCAATGATCATATGCAATGAACACCAGTTTCCACACATGTGGTAAAGTGGGTGCCGATGGACAGAATGCTTCTGTTGTGGCACAAACTCCTATAAGTTGCACAAACAAAACAATAAAATCAAAAATGTTAGTGATTAAAGCAAATCTGGCACAAAGTTAGAGTCCAGTCCATTTGGTAGAAAAAGACATTTTGGCGCCACAGACAAACTGAGATCTGTAAGAAGTTGCAGCACAACTCGAAGGCTTCTTTTCACCGTCTTTGTCAGCAACAAACAGAGCAGGGATCATTAAAGAGGTCAAACTGACATGTCGAGTCCTTGAAGCCGCACAGAGTCATTAAAAATGAAGTCCCTCGGGCGTGTTTCTATCCCACCTGTGAGACGGGAGCTGGAGTGGTGGGAAGATCAAAGTCTCATAGTTGAATGCATGAATCTGCAGGCGGGGGCGGGGCTAGTAGGGCCTACAGCTCGTGGGCGGTCAGATGATGTTCCTGGATACCGTTGGCATGAGCCATCGTAGTGTTGTTCTCATTGAGGCGCCTCACGCGATACATTTCGTAGTGGATGCTGCTGGTGATGTCCTTAATGTTCTGCATGTGAGTCCTAAAAACAGATGGAAAAATTCTGGTTTCTACAAATCAAATGTTTTAATCTAGGGGAAGCAGTTAGCTGGAAATGTAAACTTGGAATAAACAAATGATTTCAATATGAGGGGAGGAGAAATGACAGCACCTTGGGACTTCATCAACATAAATCAAAACACAGTCTGACAGAATCCTGGTAACACAGGAAGTCTGAAAGCTCACATTTAATTAGGATTCATGCAAGTTTACTACACTTTGTTTACACAGTAAGTTGAAATCATCTTTTTTGGCATTTACTGAAAACATAAATGTAAACAATTTCAAAGAAAAAGCGCAGAAAAATACTTTAATTGTGTTTTTCTAAATATTAAAGTTATTAAAGCTCATCACAGAATGTCAGGTTAATAAAACTGTTTTTACAACAAAAAGTGAAATCTAATCCTTTTCCATGATTCTTTAAATTTCTATGATTTACTCCAAATAGACCTGCAGGCTCTGTAAAGTGAAATCCATTACTTAGCGTGGCCCTAAAGCTCTGTCGTAACTTATAGACAGTCATTCACATACCCATCCACACCAAGAGACTTTTTAAAATTACCAGTTAACCTAACGGGCATGTTGCTGATCTGTAGGAGAAAACGGGGGTTCCTGGAGAACTGACCACTGCTCTGCCATGCCACCCATAAAGTGAAACAAGTAAAAAGAAAATCAAAGAAAAAGATAAAATATTAGATATGATCTGAAAAATAAAAATGCGTCTGACACTTTAAAATGGTTCCACAACAAAGATAGTGTTTTTGAGACGTACCAGCAGAACTATGAAGGCAGACAGAAATCAAGCGGGGTCGGCCTGACCCAAAATTATTGTTCTCTGAATGTGGGTCCCCCGCTTGGCCTTGAATTGGACAACTATCTCAAACTCTCCTGGATGGTATGTGAACAAGAAGATCTGCTCCCCAACCCCCTCCCCTACCTGCTCCCTTCCTGAGGACATCTGTGGACCTGTGTCAGAGCTGAGCCGGCTGATAGACACTGCACCATCTCATATCAGGACTATGGAACTATCTGGCAGCGTCCACGGACAACTTACCGCCTTCGTCGGCCTCCTCATGCATAAATGCATTATGATGTCATCAGTATGTTGCAGTTTCTGTGCTGAGATCTTTTTTTTTTGCAACTTTCACACTGTGTCCTGTCTAAGACACAATGTGGGATATGAATTTTTTTTTCATACCTCCCCTCCCCTTATGTTTCTCTTTTTCTTATCTAAACTAAAAGGGCAGCACCTCCTGAAGGCCGTGGCCTCAGACACCTCCATCTCCCCATGTCTGTTTGTTTATGTTTTCTCAGATGGGCTGTACTGAAATGTAATTTTGATGTGCTTCGGTGCAATGACAATAAAGCTGATTCTGATATTTTGTTACCCTATCAGCAGACTAGAAATACACTACATGAGGCAACAAAACTAGTTTGGATATTTACATCAGCGCTGCAAAGCTTTGAATGACGAGTGTAATGTCAGAATGGCATACTATTTAAAGAATTAGAAAAAAAACAAGCAAATAAATACTTTGATAAAGCCAAATTCTCTTCAAAATCAACTTCAACAAAAAGTGGCACATAAGAGTTTAAAAAGGGAGGTTCAAGATTCAATGAAGTAATTCTTCCTGAGCAGCTGCCTACAAAAATATCCATACCCAAATAAAGCAGCTCAAAGATGTACTCACCTGATGAGGAGGTCCCGTAAATAGGCAAACTCACAGTGGGCTATGTTCTCAACTACAGAAGAGAGAGAGAAAATGAGATGTTTAGAGCTAAAAGCAGAACAAAATCTACTTGAGTGACTGACATAAAAACAACAAAAAAAAAACAATGTGAAATTTGAATTTGCTTTGTGGTGCCTAAACAGTCCACCAGGCGACGCCACACCGCTTTACTTTTAAAGACTGAGACCTTACAGTCAGGTCCACACTCTGCCCTCACCTCCTCACAGATCTCTGCAGCTAGAGATGGGAATCACTGCTCTGAAAACTCAGACACCACACACACACGTGTGTGTCAGGAAATTAAACTTCCTTAATGAGACATTCGATAGAGGCGTGGTGCCTCCTGTCTGGAGTGGATAATATAATTAAGTATTGAAGCCTAACTCGACAATAAAACATGACTGTGAGCAATTATTTCAATCAAAACACTGATTTTTATCTTTACTGTTCGTTGCTGGTAAGCTTTTATAAAACAGTGCATCAAAACCAAAAGGGTGATAAATTGAGCTGCATCTTGATGGCTATGAAAGCATTCACAGTGCATCTATTTTGTGTCAGCAGGGACAGTCAACCAATTTGAGCTCTTCAGACAGTCTGCTGGTTGTTTGATCCAGCTGAATAACAGTCTGAAAACTATCAAGAGTGACCAGATCACTGTAACCCCGCACTGGTTTCCTTGGGTTCATTACCAGGTAAACTGTATGAACTTCAGTTTTTAAAGATGATCAGAAATGACACAAAGGGGAGAAATATGTACCTTCAATAGTTCCCCACTTGGTCTTCCTCCCCAGCAGCCTCCTGCCATTAACCTGGTACTCCTGATCGCTGCCCACCACAGCAAAAGGGATCATCTCCTGCTCCAAAATTTCAGTTAAAAAAAAAAAAAAGTCAATTAGGTAAAAAACAACTGAAAGTATGGTGATACATTTGTTAAAATGAAAACTTTGAGCTCCTACCCTGATCTTTTCATTGATCATCCTGTCCTCTGCGTCCTCATCAAACTCTTTCTGAGGGTACACGTCGATCCCGTTGGCTCGAAGCTCTTCTCTGATCTGGTCAAAACAAGAAACGCAGAACGAGCCTTTAACCTGTCGCAGCGTTTAAAGAATCCAGCTAAAGGCGTTTACTTCAGAAGTTAAGCAAACACGCTTGATTCAGTCGTCAAAAACAAGCAACTTGTGACGTGACCTTAATTTGGATTAAATTTAATCCCCTCTAGTCATTAACTGCAGCCTGTAAATGATAAATTGATTTATATAAAAATTATCTTGTGATGCTGAGTGCACATGAGACAGAGCATCTGGATCATTCAACCTAAAGCATCTAGGCTACGTTACCAATAAAGATTTGGACAACATAAAAATTAATGAAAAAGAAAAAGATGAGTGCAAGAAAATTCAGAGAAGTGGAATCTACCTTCTTTTTGAAGAAGTCCCTCTCCTCCAGTGTGAGCGTATCTGCCTTGGCAATGACCGGGACGATGTTGACCACCTTACTGAGACGTCTCATAAATTCTACATCCAGAGGTCGCAGACTGAGAAGAAAGGAGAGAAAATGTGAAAGATTAGTTGATCATTATAAATATGTAATACAAAACGTTTCCACTAGAGGGCAGATGTTTCCAACAATCAGTCCAGATGAGTTCATTGTTTACTTTGCATCCATGAAATTATCATGTTTTAATGGAGGCTGCATGTGGCTGAAAACAACTCCTGTAAGATCAACATCTGTATGTTTTCAGTCATACAGTCTGGCCAAGTTAACACTACTCGGACAAAAAAAAAAAAGTGCACTCAAGTAAAAACCGAACGAAAAGAATTAAAAGTGTAAAACTGATTACATGTCTTCAGACACACACAGGCTGCTTCCTGCTTCTCTTCTGTTAGGACTTTCAGAGCGAACCCCGAGCAGCTGCTGCTCAGGCTAAGTGTCATCTGCACTGCTGGATCAACATGAAACAGAGCTGGCTCAAAACAGGGTGGGGGGAATTTCACACCAGTCCCCTGCCTGAGTAACGACAGATCATGAGAAATTAATAGAGGTGAAGCACTTGCATCATTCTCCGTTATCAAGTGGCTCTTGGTGTGTGAGGTCACAAGAGACAGCTGCTTCGACATTTTCCCTAAAACCCAAGAAGCTCAATTGGAGTTTCACAAGTTAAACAGAAAACTGAAAATCACTTGATGGACACACGAGGGCATGTGTAAACGTCCACTAACTCCAACTACCCCCCCTGCAAGTAAATCCTGCTCCCCTGAGCTCCAGTAACTGCAGGGCTGAGCCAAAGAGCAGCTGAGAGACAGAGCAGATTAGGCTGCTCAATCAAAGCCAGATGTTCACATCTGTAAGAGATCCAAGGAGAAACTGGGATACAATGCTGTTTCAAAGCTTGACATGAGCAGTCATTGTGGAATGGTGAATCACCCAACAAAGTAAAAAACAAAACTGGACTTCTATTCAGTCAGGTGGTTTTCTTGTTTTATCTGCCAAGTCTGAGAAGCTACAGCAGCAGTGCAGAATGGCATTCTGGGATACATTTCTCTGCTTTTAGGGTAAAGCACAGGAGAGTGTGTGTTCGGTGTGCTGTGTAACAAAGTACTGTTTTAGATGAACAAACAGGTTGATTGAAAACATGCAGACAAGCGCAGGCAGAATCACAGCAGCTGAAGTTGATCTGCTTCAGAGCAAGTTCTTTTAAACATCACTAAACATGTCGTTTTTGTGTTGACGCTTTTCAGAACGACAGCGATGACGGTTTAATTTGGTCAATAAGCTAATTTTCTTTCATCCACATGTTCCTAAATAAACAATTAAGTGTGTTTCGTTACCAGTGTCCGGTTGGTGGGATGAAGTATATGCAACAGTGAACTCTAGAGTCTGGAATCCGCTTCTTTCTGTTGATGTTGATCTCCTCCTGCAGGTACGCTTCATACTGGTCATTAATGAACTTCATGATGGGCTGCCAGCTACGTTAGGACAAGGACGAAGTGAGGCAATTGTGAGAGAAAAGTACAGGGGGAAAAAAATGGAAAGAAGAGAGAAATGTTTTCTCAGATGCTGGTGTGGCTACAACTTTTTATCATGTGGATTTTTTTGGTGATTGTAAGTTTGTACCAGTTTTCATTGTTGATTTGATCTCCAAACCCTGGAGTGTCAATGACCGTCAGCTTCATTCTCACCCCCTTCTCCTCAATGTCTGAACAAAAAAACACAAACAAGGTCAGCGTGAGCACAGTGTACATTTGTCTATTGGATATAGAAATATAAGATGGTCCCGATAACCAGCTGACCATTTTCTCTTCAGATATTAAGTTTAAAAGATTATTTGTTATAAAGAAAACTACCAGAGCAGACAACAGAAAACCTTTACTACAGAAGGGGGTAGAAAGAAACGGCATCAATAAAACTGTTCACCATGACTGATGGACTTTATTTCAACAGTTTTGGGAATCTTCTCCTGCGCTGTAGCAAGCGCCGACTTCCTGCTGACTTTTGATTTGAACAGCGTGTTCATTAGAGTCGACTTTCCAAGGCCACTCTGTCCTGTAAGCAAAAAGACAACGCGTAAGGAAATCCTCAATGATTTACATACTAATGCAACAACAACAAAAAAATCCTCACTCAATAGTGTGAATGTTTATGAAGCATTCACACTATTGTCATCCATTTTTCGTACATTTTTCAGCATCTTTTTCGCTCCACAATCTTTGTGCTATTTCAACAAATCATAGATGGAAACATTCAGCTCGTTCAGGACAATCCTGCTATGACTTTTGGTGTTGATGCAACTTTAGCTTTTTGACATATTTAGCCTTTTCTGCCATTTTTTCCTCATAGAAAATGAACTGAGCTCATTTTACATCCTTCATATAGATTTGTTTACAACATTTTACTGCTCCTTCCACATTTTGCTTCAGCTCCCTCGTTCAAATTTAAACATTATTTTCAGCTACTTTCAGCTAATTTCAGACGTTTTTCAGCCGTTTTGTGCTCATTTCAGTTTCTTTCTGCTAACTAAACCATTTTTGTGCTTCCAACTTCTTTCTGCTAATTTCAGCTTGTTAGGCTTTATTCAGCTCCTTTCTGCAAGTTTCAGCTTTTTCTGCTATTTTAGCTACTATTTAGCTGCTTTTATGCTAATTTTAGCATTTTTCAGCTAAATCCACATTTTTTGCACTTGTTTCAACTTTTTTCAGCTTAATTCAGCAAAAAAAAGTGCTCTCTACACTTCCTTCTGCTAATAAGCTTCTTTCTGCTAATTTAGCTACTTCTCAGCTGTTTTTTTGTGCTAATTTCAGTATTTGTCTCTAGTTTAAAACTCAAAATAACTTTTTTAAATTTTTTGTGCTGATGAAACTTTTATTTCAGTTGTAGGTAGAAATCTTTTAAAGATCATGACTCCTGCAGATTTCGTGTTCAAATCATTAGATAATTGGTCGTGTTTGCAAGTGTTTAATAGTCCAGTAATCGTAGCATCTTGATGATAAAATCCTCTATCTGGACAAAATGTATTAATAAACTTTACTGTCCTAACACGAGTTTATTAGGAGGAGTTTGGAGTAGCCATTTGGGAAGGGAGAATTCACAGTTCAACTTCAGGTTACGTCAACATCAAGAAGCTTCCTGATTCATGGCGATGAACTCAACAGTGCGAGAGCAGTTAGAAAAATGGATGAAGCTGGAAGTCGTGGGAGCACTTTGGTTTTGTTAATGCCAACCTCTGCAGCGCTCAAACTTTCTGAAACGGCTGTGAAAAGGCTGAACTCTCTTCCCTTCACAGCCATGTCACTGGAGACTGGGCCAAACCCCAGTTCAAGCACTGCAGATGTAGTTCAACTTGCAGATTTAGAAGTCGTCAGCAAATTATTGAGCAAAAGTGACGACGATCCTTTTTGAGCTCTTCCTTCTTGTGCTTTTGATGACATGCATTGTTTATTAACACAAAGAAGCTTTAATGTTCTGTTGACAAAAAGTCTGTTATCAAGCAACTACAGCACTTCGACTCCCCTCACACAGACACAAACCATTTTCTAAATTATCAATCCTCCCAGAGTGTAATTAAAGCTGAATGAAAAGAACACATGGAAACCCAGGATGTTTTGGACCGTCTCAACCCTAAGGCTGCTGTCTAAGGAAACTTTAATAAGAAAATAAAATTAAGAAAACTATTGCAACATTATCTAGGAGACATACATCTAAGCAGTACGTTTATGGACTCCTGGTTGCTGCTGAGGTGCGTGTAATTAAGTCCTGTTTTAAAAAGGCATCTGATCACACCGAGGACAACAAAATGAAAGAGTCTGAAGTTTTACTGTGAGTAGCTGCTTATTAAAAAAGTTTGAGGTGTCTGCTTTCAGTCAAAAACTTGATTAAAGAGAAAATGATTGTGGTTTTTATATGAATTTAAATGTAGTGTTGAGTTAGCTTGTAGAGTTAGCTTGTATGATAGAATATAAGAATGCATGAAAGAAAATGAGCACAAAGTGAAATTTGGACTTGAGGTAATGTGATAAAGTGCAAAGAGGAAGCAATGGAGATCTAAAGCTAAAAATCATGTTTCTTTTTTAAACTTGCACATGATAGCTTCTATAATCTTGGACTGCTCAAATAGGCTTTTCTAATAAAATCCAGCAAAAAACAAACCATGACTGAATACTTTCACCTTGAAGAAATATTTATTTGCTCCTGATCAAGAAATGCATTTATTTCTTAGAAGTTTAAGGAGTATTAAAAAGTCATAGAGCACCCATTTGCTATGCTACATTCTGAGTCAATTAAAGTATTTATAATGCCCATCAATGAGGTATTTCTGCTTGTGCAAGAGCCACACACCAAAACATTTGAACTCTGAACTTCTTGTTCCAGGAAAAGCACACCATCACACTTGTGCTATATCAAACTAAATCGTATTTGAGCGTGTTAATATGAAAGACCTACCAACAACCATAATGTTGAGTTCAAAACCCTGCTTCATGGCCTTCCTCCTCATCTGTTCCAGAATGGCGTCGATACCAACATAACTGAAGTCCAAGACAGGACCACTGGTCTTCTCTCCGTACACCGCCGGGGACACCATCGTGTCAGGCACCACTGCCTCAGACATGGCACTGCTGCTGCTGTTACTGCGAAACACTTCTGGTCCTGCATGGCACACAGAAAGGGAGAAAAAAGGTTAAAGTGATGTTTTATAAAAGGGCTAAACATTGCCAGGAAGGAAGGTGGTCGTGCAAAGTCTTAAATATCTCATCAGCAATATAAAGAATGTGACAAACAAGCAAACATGATAAGGAAGGTGCATCCATATTGCAAAAACTTCAAGAATCTACAGAAATATCTGAAAGAACAATTTGCTGTACTAAAGTGTTAATCAGGTGAAAATGCTCTAAGATGCATGCGATATAATAAACTTAGCAGCATCTAGGATCAACCAGTGGACATTTGGGACAAAAACAGGTAGATTGTTTAGGTTGACTGTGTCTACAGTTTTACTGGCAGCAGCACTGGAAAGCTGTACTTTTCATGGCAACAGCACTTCCTTACATTCCAACATGATGATATCAGGTTAACAGACTGTAAACTTTCTTACTATCATTCTGTATTTTTTTTATTTGGATACAAATACACATTTAATTTCTTTCCCACTCAAAAAGTTCAAAATTATACAATTTTTTTTTTTATTTGGTACAATTTATGTCCCTAGTCTACCAAAATACACTGAACAAATCTGAGATCTGAAACAAAAATCAGACCTGTAAATTACTAGAAATCAGATCACTTTTTAAAATCCATGTTTGATCTGGAAGCAGCTACATTTAGTTATTTTCAGAACCATGCCTAAATCATGAGGAATACACGGTTTAGGCTGAGAATAATGGTCATAAGAAATAAAAAGAAAAGAGTACAAAATAAAAGACCAAATGAAGGTCCTGCACATCTGAAAGCTGTTTCATTACCATCCAGTGAGTAATAAAACACATCTGTAAAATAAAATAAAAAGGTTAAAGTGATTAAGAAGCTTAAACACCCTGTCAATTAGATCAACCCTAAATGATGCCACATTTTCACCAAATATATCTCATTGTTATTAAGATAACGGAATGATGAGCCAAGATGTGGTTTGACTGAGACATTTCCACCCCCACGTTGTCAAGCCTGCTAATAAAACCCCCTCTAAGTTTAAAACTGAAGGGTGTCTGTCTCTCATCACAGTCCAATGAAAGAAAAAAAAAAACAGAAAATATGTCATCTAGTACTCAAGTACTTCAGATTTGGCAAATGGCTGCACCAACTGGTTTTGCTAATGATTAGCTTAAATACATTTCTGGAATGCCTACAATTGTATGTCTATTTATAAAGGCACATTTCCAAGTTTTAGCCTGAACCTTGAAGGTCATGCATGCAGTGAAGGTAAAGAATTTTCACCACTGTTTATATCCGTCTATGTAGCTGTGACCCTTCATGGGGCCTCTCAATCCTCCTCTTCATATTCCACAATGTTATTGTCCTGTTAATGTGAGACTGGAAACAAAGCTGAAATGGGATCCTCTACCAGTTAACCAGCAGGGATCCGTGTCACTATGAGTAAGAACGGCCTCACACTTCAAACTGACCTTGGTTTGATTGAAAGAAATGAGTGAAGAATAACACTGCTGTGGTAATTGCACCGAGTCTTACATTTATAATGTGAATCCATAAGTCAGAGACCCACCTATGGAAGCTGCAGCTCTCCAGGCCTCCTCCTTCACCACTTCCCCATCCTGTTCCAGCAATCATTCAGCAACCCACTGCGACTCAGTGCCCTCCAGCTCGCCTCTGCACATCCCCTGTTCTCATCTTCGCTTTGCTCGTCTTTCCTCACAATTTCAATGTTTCCCCTTTCGTCACCAATTCCTCCTCTACTCTGTTCTTTTCCGTTTTCACCTTTAACAAGTTTCTGTTGCTTCTTTTACTTTTTTTTTCCATTTCCTCCTCAATTTTTTTCTTTACCTCATCTTGCTTGTAGCGCAAAAGATTTGTCTCCTCCACACAAAACCTGCTCTAGTTGCATTTGTGACATTGTCTCTTTTTGATGGCGCACATCGACAGGCACGACTAACAACATTTTAGCCTGAAGCGAGACACCAGGAAAACATCAAAGGAAACAAACAAAAGGAACATGGATTAATAGATACTTGAGAAACGGTATCAGCCTCGGTGAGCTCAAACATGATCTAAGTGCAGCTTAAACTGTAAACTCAAATCCTTAAAACTTGTTTGGTGCATGAACAAATGGTCAGGATTTATTTATTTGAAAAGTTTTGTGTGCAGGTGCAGGGTATGCATTTGCAATGAGAACATTCTGCAACAAGTATCTAAAAAACAAAAACAAAACAAAACTGTCGCCTTGTGTTAAAAGCCAACAAGAGGAACAGTAAATGGAAGCGACTGAATGGCTCTTCAAAGTTTTGTTCCCCGTCCTTCGTGAAAGCAAACCACTAATTTTCCTCAAGTCAAAGTTGAGCCAAACGCCGTAAACAACTCGGCAAACATCCAACACACAAAAAAGGCCCACAAAGTCCTGGACGACCACTGTGGGAAACCCTGCTTCGCGCACAAACCAAGATAAATCACTGTCATTACAACTGTCGCCAACTTCAGTAAACATGAAATCCCAAAACGTAGGTGTTGATACGAGTGTGTCAAGCTGTGAGTGAAACATTCTCCGTCAGAGCTGTTGTTTTAAGAAGGAGACAAAGCAGAGCAGTAACGGACCTCAGAGTTGTTTCCAACTGGAGGCCATTTATCAGGCGGAGGTATTCAACATCTTCAACTCTTCTAAGGTGTTCTGCAGATTTGTAATGGCTCCATGTCAATAAACACAGGTGTGGGGAGACGAGTTGGAGCAGTCGTGTAGATGTTAAAATATCTGACCTCTGTAAAACGTCTCAGACTGACAGCTCAGCAGCTGGTGGACATTAAATCTGACCACAGACATTTCTGCTCTCACAAAAATGATGGTTGATATCAAGTTAAAGATCGGGAAAACAGAAGTGTGTAGGGATTTGTTGCAACTTCTTCAACCTTATGATAGTTGTTTTGAATGGTTCAGCAGTGGGTACAATGAGCCATTATAATACAAAGATTGATTAAATTATGAGTTGTTTTTTTTTATTTTTTTTATCAGTTGCACATTTTTCAGCTTTTCCTTTTGAGGACTCAAGGAAAAACAATAACTCTCATAGTGCATCAATCACTCCCAGAGAACAAAGTGTGACTTAACTATTGACATTTCTCATTCAAAATAGTTTTTGGACTAATTTATTAAGAAAAACGTTTTTGTATGCTCTGGAGGAATTTTAAAACTGATATATTTTCTAGTGGAATAAAGTAATCTCAGAAACTGTTCATATTCATAAAGAGTAGGCCAGTCACAATGACAAATTTTGCTGGGTGATTGTCTCAGAAATTAATGCAAATAAATGATAACATTGTTTGAAATTTGATAATAATTAGTAATTGTCAAATTTAAGAAGAAATGTTGGTTAATTTGTGTGTAGTACATATTTTTTTGACCACTGGATGGCAGTATAAGAATGTTTGAACCGAAGGATGAAAGTGAGGGAGCGAGCAGCGTGTTTTTAAGAAAAATGGGAGGGAGGCCCCTTGACGTGACATGGGCCGTCTCTCATTCCAGTTTTTCGGTTCTCAAATAGTGGACGCTCGGTGCGGTTTGAGCTCTTTAGCATAGCATTTTTCACACAAAGCTTTTAATAAAAATAAAAAAATCAGTAAACAAGTTCCCAGCTTTGCTTTGCAGAGGAAAAACAACTTTTTACACGAAGGCACGGCTTTCAACCGTGAATTTTGGAGCTTTGACAAGACAGAGGATTTTCCCCAAGGTTGGCCTGTTAACTTAGCTCGTAGCTTAGCTTCTCAGCTTAGCTGCTTTTAAGGATCCAAAAACGTGATTTTGGATGGTTAAAATAGATTTTAAAGAGAAAAGAGAAGGGAGGGGTCAGTGAAGAGCACCGGAGTTGAGCCTTTTGTCCTCCAGTGTCTTCAGAAAGAGACACGAAGAAACAATAAAGCAGATAAATAAAAATGAGGTTGATCATTTTCATTTATAATGTGATTAATTGATTTACTGTTTATTGCAACAGGCCTAATTAAGAGTTAATCATCCCTCTGATTCATTTTTAATTATTATTTTTACCATATTTATTAAATTTGAAGTAAGACAACTTAATTAATTTCAGCAACTGGAAAGCAAAGAGTCCCTTCTTGGAGTTGCTGTCTAGCTGTTTTCTATTAAGAGTCACAAAAGATTTTTGTGTGTGTGTGATTCAGCAGTATCAAATTTCTTAGCTTTTGGAAATACAGCCAGCAGTCTTCAAAACCACAAAACATTTTTTTTTTAAATAAGGAGGGAAAACAAAAGTAGAACGAGTGAAGAAAGAAGTGTGGCGATAAGAACAAGATAAAAGTGAAGTAGTAAAAAGGAAGAGGGCCTTCGAGTGTGGGGGAGGCAGAAAAAGATAAAGGTCAGGGAAAGGAGGAGGACACAGGAAAGCATGTTGAACAGAGGAGGGGGAAGGAAAAAGGAAGGACTGTGTGGACAGTCGAGTTGGTGATTTATTTCACTTTTTGGCCCGAGGCATTCCTCACTAACTACACACAGGCCTCCAAACCAGGATGTAAATGCATTTTAAACAGACTCAACCCATTTACTGCTTGGTTTCCTCCTAGTCTCTGAAACAGAAAGGCACCAAAGAGAACACTGACTGGTCTTTATGCATTTGGTGACAGCAGAGACAAAACCACCGGGCTTTGCCTCAGCTGTCCAAAGTGTTGATCTTGACAGCATAGCGAGCAGGTCAGAAGTCATGTTCCAGTTTTGGTTGGAAAAGAGCTGCTCTGAGGTTACTCCCCTTGGGACAAACCAGTGGTTTGACCCACTGTGCAAACAGGCCTGAATCACAAGGAAGGCAACCAAAAAAAAAAAAAGAAAAGAAAAAGGGAGAAATGATCCAGAAACCTGGATCCCAGATCACCAAGTCACTCACTGATGGGATTCTTAAAACTCTGATCTTAGAAAGTAACACTTACAACTGGGGATACAATACAAATGTTCCTACATTCAATTTAATACAATATGGTAGCTT